TATCTAAGTACAATCTACACATTAATGCTAAAATCAAATATATTATTTGATGAGTCATTATGTGATTAAATCTCCTAATTCCTTAACAGATTAATCATGGAATAAGGTATATTAAGTCCGACTCTAGGACTTAAACAACTAAACATCCTTCCTTTAAAGTATAGACAGTGTTCAAGATTCAATGGGTTGGCTGAAAATATAGCATTAATATTTGACATAAATATGTGAAATCCCTTATCCTTATCAATTATTTCTTATTCAGGTAGCTGCATTTGATAAGAATAAGGGTAAATGACTTTATTTGATTGAACTTGGGTTCAAAATTTCCTCATATTGGGCACCTAGGTACCTATTGTCCATATACTCCTAAAATTCATGCTACTTCAGTGGTTGGAAAGTGTTTATCAAATATTACAATAGTAAACTTATTCATCTCTGTGGCATGTTGCATATTGATTTTTGATAATGCTTTTGATTATATTCAAGCAGAAATTAAACACATTGAACTATTCATGCCAAAAGAATCAGGCGATTTTATTATATGTAAGAAATGTTTCCTATACAATCTATACAAATAGAATTAAGGGAGGAAACTGTGAATCGAATTATAGGATATCTATGCAGAAATTTAAAGAATGAATGATTTACAGTATATAAATAAAAATGAAAACTGAAACAAATCCAACAGGGCATTCACTGAAAACAGCAAAAAAAAAAACAATGTGAACTAAACAGCGTGGGATACCCATGATTTATTATCCACTAGGGTAGAGAACGATTTGGGCATTTACTAGAATCCAACAGGGCTGGCCGTTGGGCAATTCAGGTTCAACTCATAACGGGCGCTTTGTTATTCAGCGTGACTGACCCAAAAGGCCTAGTTGGTCTGGCCTAAAATGACAGAACAACAATTTGAAAAAGACAGAAAGAGACACACACAAAGGATGTTGACATTGTTATGGGCAATCTTGTCCAAAGACTTCGGAGATAACTATTGGCAAGAATTGGGCATGAAGAATATCTTCCCAGAATCGTTAGTGGGGAGGATTCAATAGAAGATCAAGAATTGGAAACTGTTACTAGTATTATTATCGTTATTATTATTATTTGATTTCTGATGTATTTGTTTTTGTTACTGAATCTGTTTGATGATGATTTATCAGGTGCTTGAGGATGGTGTTCTAGATCCAGAAACAACAGTGGTGACTATATTCCCAACTCCCATATGTTAATGTTCCTCTTAGTTGGAGAATGAGACAACATGAGAAGGTATTTATACAACCTATCAGTCCTTTATCTCATAACTTTTCATGAATTTGCTTTAATTGGTTGCTTATTTCACAGTGAATAGCCCTGAAGAACCAAAATTCTGAATCACCTCTGTTTCTACATGAAACTGAGTTTTATGCAACTGTACCCAGAATTGATTCAGCGCCCTTCTCTCTTTTTTCATTTTTATTTTTTATTTTATTTTTTTATTGTCCTTCAGCATCCTTCTGTTTTGAAATCCATTTTTCCACACAAAAGCCTGCCTTAAGATTACACATGATTCAGTTCGATAATGTCTTATCAGGTGCTTGCGGTTGGTGTTCTGGATACAGAAACAACAGTGGTCTCTATCTTCCCGTCTCCTATGCATTATGCAGGTCCGACTGAAGTTCAATGGCATGCAAAAGCTCATATAAATGCTTGAAAATGTTTCCCTAAGCTTAGTGCCAGTAAAACTGAGGAATGTTACAAAAGAGATACAAAATTGTTGTTGCTTTTTTTTCTTTTTCTTTTTTTTTTGTTCTTGATAAAATGTAAAGCTTTATTTATCTTGGAAACTGCTGTTTGTACATAGAGCACCTTAAGTTGCTACAATCATTGGGAAGACTATAACCAAGAAAACTCTTCATCCTACAGCTATACTAGTGTGTTTTGTACAAGCAACTATTGCACAGCAATGCACATGGACAGTGAGGAAGATTTTAAACTAACAAATCCTAAAATCTTATGCCTAACATCAAAAAGAATTTCTCTAACAATTAAAGACACAAATCCAAATTGTTGTCTATGTAACCTGTTGCTCCTCTCACACCAAGACATGGTTACAGAATTGTGTTCAGAAACTCGAGGTCCTACATGGTGGTCCACTTGAGATTAGCTTTTTTTCCTTTTTGTTTGGAAGTAAGCTTGAGATTAGCTTATAATGATCGGAGTTGTGGTATCGGTATGCACTTGACGATCATGCCAATGGGCCAAGAGACTGCAGCAATGGCCACACAAGTACCCCAGTTGACCCAATTTAATTTCTCTGTATGGGCAAGCACCTTCCAATTCGACTTCTCTGTATTGGCAAACTGCCTCAGAAACTCCACCATTAGCACTTGGAGAAGAATCATAATCCCAACAATCACAAGAAACTTCCAGCTCTTATGAACATCCTTGAAAACATTCTTTTTCTCAAGCTTCCTCACATTGAATATATTGAAAATTTGACAGAGATTGAAAGTATTAAAGATCAAGATGTTATGTATAGCCTTTGTTGGACCGAAGATTGATGCTCCTCTGCCTTGGAGCACCAGGAGGACCCCAATCTGGTAAAGAGCTTGAGCTAGGAGATTCCTCCACATGATGTTGGTAATGAGACCCTCCATCAGGCCAACAGGTGGCTTCTCCATCAAGTCACTGGCGGGGTGTTCTGTAGCCAAAGCCAGAGCACCCAACATCCCTGTGATCATGTTCACTCGCAACGTTTGAGCTGCCGTTAAATAATCTGCGCCAGTAGAAATAGTTGCCAAAAGGTTGATAACTAGAGTAGAAACGGTTATGGTAAGCTGGAACTGAATGAATTTCTGGATGTTACCGTAGATGCATCTTCCCCACGTCAAAGCCATAGCAACGGTTGCGAAATTATCATCCAAGATGACAATGTCAGAGCTTTCCTTGGCAACTTCCGTCCCTTGAATCCCCAGAGAGAGTCCAACGTGGGCCTCTTTAAGCACCCGAGAATCGTTTATGCCACTGACTGCAACTACTTGTCCTTTCAATTTTAGGCACTGCACCATGAGAAGTCTGTCGGAAGGAGATGATCGTGCCAACACGCAGATATTGTCAACTTTCTCCATCATCTCTAGCAGCGTATAATTCCTAAATACCTCACCTTCCACGATGGCACCTTCCTTGTCTTCATCACCAGATTGGAGAATACCACATTCAATGGCTATGGCTCTTGCAGTGCATGCATTGTCACCTGTGATCATCTTGATCTTCACACCGGCACAGTGGCAGAGTTCCACGGCTTCCTTCACCTCTGGCCGGCATGGGTCCTCAACACCCGCAAGTCCTAACAGTGTCAAATTTTCTTCCTTAAGCTTTTTCTTCTCTTTTAGATCTTCCCCGTCTTCTTTTGAAACTCGTGTGTAGGCAAAAGCAACACAGCAGAGACCGCTGGCTGCCATTTCATTAATAATTAGCTCAAATTTCATTCTTTCTTTTTCATTCATATCTTTGGTATTTCCTGAAGTATCATAGTAACTGGAGCACATTGCTAGAATCATCTCTGCTGCCCCTTTCCAGTGAATATGAAGCACGTCTGTGTTGGCATCTTTATTCTTGATCAGAACTCCACTCCGTTTCTTTCGAGAATTGAACGTTTCAACAAAAAGGATTGAATAATTCTGCTTCATTTTCTCCAAATCCATCTTCAGTTCCAAGGCAGCCCAAGAAAGCAGTGCCTTTTCCATTGAATTACCAAAGAATTCTGAGCCCATTAATCTACTAGAACCTTTATAAGCACCTTCCATTGTGTTCAGAGCAACTCCTTGAAGGATCAAGTCAACAACATGGGGAGAAATTGAAGAAGAGGAAGCAACCTTATCCATGGGTTTCTGGCCGAGCCAAAAGTTCTTCACCTTCATCTGGTTAAGCGTGAGAGTCCCCGTTTTGTTGGTGCAAATGGTGGTGATGGAGCGCATTGTCTCGCACGCGGAGGGTGTTCGGACCATCAATTTATCCACCATCATTCTCTTCATTGCATATGTTAGAGTCAGTTTAACTACAAACAACAGGCCTTCTGGAGAAGCAGTGCTGATGATAATAGCGGTAGCAGCCACCATGCCTTTAATAGTATTCAGTGGATTAGCATTTAGTGGATCATTGGCTTTGTTTCTTTTTCCGTTGCTTGCATTGCTGGTGAAGTAGTCATTTACCAACAGCACCACAAGAACCAGGTCAGTAACCGTTCGTATTGACAATGCTAGCTTTTTGACCCGCTTTTGAAGTGGGGACTTCTCTTTCTCGTCACGGTTGATTAAATTCATCTGTTATATCAGAAGTGATGATTGAATTTAAAATATTGACAAAGGATGTAGGGAACTCAATACTCAAATTGAGTTTAAACAATCATGTTTTGTGCACTTAAAGGGGAAGGGCCGACTCACCATTTGGCCGCAGGTGGTGTTCGTTCCGACTGAAGTAACGAGCATTCGGGCAAACCCGTTGATAACCTTGGCACTGGAAACTAAGAAGGGGTTTCGCCTCAAATTCACCTCAATATGGTTTCTGTCTTCGAACATGCTTGATTTATCTACTTGCAGAGAATATCCGTCGAGGAACAATCCATCCGCTGGAATTTTATCCCCCATCTTCAGGTAAACAATGTCTCCTACAACTACATCATAAATAGAGATCTGTTGTCGCTGGCCGCGCCTAATGACATTAATCCGGATATCATTGCTGATTCGAAAAATGTTGTCCAATTGTCTGTTCTGCCAGTAGTTTACGGTAGCAGAGGAGGCAATCAGCGCAAAGACGGCAAGGGAAATGCCTCCGCCTTCGTACCAGCGTTGTTTGAAGGCGCCACCATGATCCTTAATGTCAATGGCAAGGGAAAGTGCTGCACAACCGAGTAAGATCATAATAGTAGGATGTCTGAAAGCCTTCCCCACGAAGTAGGAAAAGCTTTTAACGAGCTGTTTCTTACCATGCATGTTGGAACCAAACGCCACACGTCGGCGAGTAATGTCCTCAGCACTACCATTAATCCCGCTGTCCAGGTTGGTTTCCAGACAATAAGCCACCCCATCAACACCCCCAAGTTTCTGAAGTGTTTGAAGATCTTTCTTCGCCACAACGTTAGTGAGAATCGTTTGATTGATTCTAAAACCATTGTTTTCTTGAGGAATAGTAATTGAAACATGGGAATCACTCTTCTTAGGCTTGCTGAAAGTGGAAGGAAGATTAAGCAAATGGTCCATTGAGATCGAGTTTGCCCTATTGACGGACATAATAATTTCTGAGTTCTAGAGGAATTAAGTAACAAAATAGCAAGAATACGATACACTATTGAAGAAGAAAATAATTAAACAGGACACATGAATGGTAGGATGTGAATCTTTCAACTTATATATATATATATGTAGATACATATCGGGTTTCTCCTGTGCATTTCCTCTGCATGTAACAAAAACCGCGTCTCCTCGGCTACAGTCGGCGGGGCTTATTTTATTTTTGACAAAGGTATTGCACGTGCACGCGGAACTCCATGATTTTATTCCATTGCAAATAGTCGGCGACCCCACAAGCGATCGGGCGCAGAAAAATTTGCAGCCGCAATCGATTGAAATTACGTTGTGTTTTGTTAGCGGCCTACGCGGGGTGAATTGAATCGAAAATTTTAATATTTTTAAAAAATTAATTTAATTTAATTAATATAAGTTAGTTAAATTGATTGATTTTTAATATTATTTTAAATATATTTAATGAGATAAAAAAATTAAAGTACTAAACTATAAAAAAATATAATTATAAACTATGATAATATTATAAAAAAATGAAATAATATTATTAATTATTAGATTGAAGTAAGAATTAAAAAGACGATAACAAGAAATAAAAACTAATAAGGCAATCAAGACACATATACCCATGCTATTATTGCTCAAGAAAGTATAAAATTATGAGAGTAGAGTTCTTGTTTATATAGGACAG